GGCTCACTGCAACCTCCACCTGCCAGGTTCAAGCACTTCTCCTGCCTCAGCCTTCTGAGTAGCTAGGACTACAGGTGCGTGCCACCACACCCAGCTAATTTTTGTATTTTTAGTAGAGACGGTGTTTCACCATGTTGGCCAGGATGGTGACGATCTCTTGACCTCGTGATCCGCCCGCGTTGGCCTCCCAAAGTGCTGGGATTACAGATGTGAGCCAGCGCACCCAGCAAAGATTTTGTTTTTTTGACATCACACAATTTTGATGAGTGGTAAGCATAGATTTTTGCCCCAATACATATTAATGGAAATGTATGTTTTTTAAAATAAAAGACATCTCAGCAATCACCATTGTGCTTGGACAGAATTAAACAAAAGTGAAAAGCGTTAGCAGAGACAATGTCAGTAGAATGGAAGTCTACCAACTTGCATCCCTACATATGTAAAATACAGTTGCTGCTTACATCACAACGCCATGGAGATTAACTAATGATAATGCATGGGAAGCACCTAGAACAGTGAAGGGTGCATAAATAAACAAATGTTACTTTGCTTCCTAATCCCTTGCATGTGAACTTGAAGTGGGGAAATAAAAGGAAAAATAGAAGTTTCGAACAAACTTACTACCTCCTTTCCAGTTCTGCACTCACTGTTACCATCCCCAACCAGCTCTCCAAGTCTTCATCTGGAAACATGGACTGAACTGAGGCACTATGGCAGCCACTCAGCTGGGCCATGTAGCTATGACAGAGGACACTACATCATCCAACATGGAAATGCCCCATAGTTTATCTCTTGTCTGAGTTTACTTAATTCAGATTATATTCTGAGTTTAAAATCTTTTCTTCCGATTAAAAATACCCCTACAAGTGTCTTTACAAGGGAACTTTGTTTGTTGGTGGCTGAAATAAAAGACTCTCCAGTAAATGTTATATCTGTTGTGAATATTTTTCCTACTTTGTACTTTTGCTTCAGTTTTTATGGTTTGGGACAAAGAATCTAAATTTTTAAGTCAAAGCTATGAATTTTTCCCTATAGTTATTTCTATTATTTTGTTTAAAAGTTCTTTCCCATCTACAGATGAGTTAGTCATTTTTTGATCTTTTATGGTCTCATTATTTACACTTAATTCTTGAGTGTGCTTATAAATTTTGGGGTATGAATAAAGGTAAGGCTGGCCTTTTATTTTAAATAGGCACAGCACTATTATTTATTAATCCATCCCTTCCCTTCCTGATGCTTTTTGTGATGTTTCCTTTATTTGCAGTGATTTTCTCTGAGGGAGGAGAATGTATGGGGGTCACCTGAGCTTTGCATAAATACACTTAACCCCACCTTTTTTTTTTTTTTGAGACAGAGTCTCACTCTGTCGCCCAGGCTGGAGTGCAGTGGTGCGATCTCAGTGTGGCACGTTGGCTCATGCCTGTAATCCCAGCACTTTGGAAGGCAAAGGCAGGCGGATTACCTGAGGTCAGGAGTTCCAGACCAGCCTGGCCTACATGGCAAAACCCTGTCTCTACTAAAAATACAAAAATTAGCCAGGCTTGATGGCACGCACCTGTAATCCCAGCTACTCCAAAGGCTGAGGCAGGAGAATTGCTTGAACCCAGGAGGCAGAGATTGCAGTGAGCTGAGATTGCACCACTACACTCCAACCTGAGTGACAGAGTGAGACCCTGTCTCAAAAAAAAAAAAAAAGTCATATACCTATTTTGTACTTTTCTCATATATCATCATATCATCTAGGATCTGCTTAGACATGTGTATTCAGTTCCACAGATTTATCCTTGTGTCTGATCCCCACTGTTATCCTTACTGAAGGATAAGAATATATTTTAATATCTGATAAAGTATTATATTTTGAAAACATAAAAAATAATTAGCCCATTAACATGTTGCTGCAGCATCCAGGCTGCTTGTTGAGAGAACTCTTTTCATATTGCTTTTCTCTTGTGGGATAACTTTTAGTAAGGCTTTTGTTCAAATAGTTATATTACCTATACTTTTATGTCAGCAGGAATAAATAATCCATTTTTTAAAGTTGAAAATAAAACTGTACTGGAAGAGAATTGTCTTTTTCTACTGACCTAATCTTAGAAATTCAACCACCATCAAACCTGGCTCTAAAACTAACAGCAATATTAATATTAACTAATAACAACACTGAGATCTCACTCTGACAGCCAGACAATTCATTTTGCCGGCGTTTGGTTTTGCATATATGAGATGTTATTTAGAAACCTGTTCTGAAGGTCTTTGCAAGGTAAAGATATGTATATACTTCTGAATTTCCTTTTTCTGTATGCTTCTAAAACTAAACCTTGGGTTAGGATAGGTAGGAACTGTTTCCTGCTTGCAAATACTAATGGCTCAGTAAGAAATAAAAGATTGTATGTCGTAAGTAGCCTTAACTTTGGTAAGTCAGTAGCATATTTTTTCTAAAAATTTAGAAACCTTCTCAGGATTCAAGTTACTCTAAGGCATGTTATCAGATTTCTCTCAGTAAGCAATCTGTTATAAATAGATTGATTTATATCAAAATGTATTTTATTGCAAATAATATAGCAAGAATTAATTGAGTATACTTTAAAACTTTCTTAAGAATGCCATTGTGCAGAGCTTTATAGTAATCATCTTATCTAGTATAATGAGACAGCTTCTAGAACTATGAGTGTATTTATATTCATTTTAATGTTCCTTAAAAGTGATAATCATTGATAATATAATTTCACCGAACTGTATACAATGAGATATGTAAGATGTTTACCAGTAATGTAAAATAAAATTTTAAATTTGAGGACATGAAGGAAAATAGAAGTTTTCATAACTTAAAACCATACAAACAGAAATGCTAAATTTCATTTAGATGGTATGTGTTAACATTGTCAGGGCAAAGTAATTAATTTTGTCACCTTTTTCTGACCCTCTAATTTTTCTGCAAATTTCAGTATTTATCCTCAAATATTACTTATTTTTAAAATATACTTTTGCTTTGACTTATTCTTTATTCAATTAATTATGGGCACTTATTGAAATTAGTTAACTGGCCTGGCGCAGTGGCTCGTGCCTGTAATCCCAGCAGTTTGGGAGGCCGAGGTGGGTGGATCACCTGAGGTCAGGAGTTCGAGACCAGCCTGGCCAACATGATGAAACCCCATCCCTACTAAAAATACAAAACTTAGCCAGGCATAGTGGTGGGTGCCTGTAATCCTAGCTACCCAGAAGGCTGAAGCAGGAGAATCACTTGAACCTGGGAGGCATAGGTTGCAGTGAGCTAAGATCATGCCACTGTACTCCAACCTAGGCAACAGAGCGAGACTCCATCTCAAAAAATATATCTATATATAGTTAACTGAGCACTGTATACAAGACAAATCTCATTAAAATAAACTCAGTTCTGATCAAAATCTTCATGCTCATTCAGATTGATTTCTCAGCCAATGGCCTACCTTCAGTTTTAAGAAGTATTCTGACTATAAAAAATTTGTATACACCATGATAGAAACTTTCAGCTGAGTCCTTGGAGTTTGTTCTAAGAGGCTTTTACATATTCAGTCAATAACATTCAGGTTCTGTGTATGACCAAAGAACTGGACAAATGTTGGCCAAACTTTCAAGAATGTTTGCCTAATGACACCCCCTAGATTGCAACTGTATGGTGTTCTATACAGCTATATTCAAATGGACTAGGATAAAAGCTAATTACACCCAACTTTTTTTCTTGTAAGCACTCCTTCCTTCCCTTTCTCCCTATCTTATTCATCTGTTCATTCTTGTTAATTATTCAACAAATGTATATTGATCTCCTATAGCCAAGAAATGTACTAAACTCCAGGGAGGCAATGGCAAACAAGGCTAAGACCCCTTTCTTTTAGAGCTTACTGTCCTGTTATTTTTGAATGTGCATGAAAATTGCAGAGTTTGCTCCTTTTAATTCTAATTTACAGATTTTATTGTTGTAAAGTATTTCAAATACCCAGGAATTTACCAAAAATAATATAATCACGTACCTGCTACCTAGATTTAAGACATTAACATTTTGCCATATTTGCTTCAAATTTCTCCAGATATAACCATTAACTTTAAGTTGGTATATATCTTGTATATATTACCATGCATATTTTGTATCTTTATTGTATATGTACTGATCCATAAGAATGTGGTATTGTTTTCTACCAGGCGTGGTGGCTCACACTGGTAATCCCAGCACTTTGGGAGGCCGAGGCGAGTGGATCACCCTGAGGTCAGGAGTTCGATACCAGCCTGGCCAACATGATGAAACCCCGTCTCTACTAAAAATACAAAAAAATTAGCCGGGCGTGGTGGCGGGCACCTGTAGTCCCAGCTACTCAGGGGGCTGAGACAGGAGAATTGCTTGAACCTGGGAGGTGGAGGTTGTAGTGAGCCAAGATCGCGCCACTGCACTCCAGCCTGGGCAGTAAGAGCAAAACTCTGTCTCAAAAAAAAAAAAAAAAGAATGTGGTATTGTTTTATGTTTTTATATTTTACGTAAATGATTTCATGCAGTACATACCCTTTTGCAATTTTGCGGGGTTTTTTTACTCAACATTATATATGAGATATACTCATGTTGATGCATGTGAATGTAGTTCATTTCATTGCAGTGCTATATCATATTCCATTTTGTGAGTAAACCAGTCCACTTCTCCATGCCTTTGCTGATATGTACTTATTTCCAATTGTTTCATATTATGAATGGTAGTTCACTGAGCATCATTACATGTTTCTTGTGTACATATCTGAGTGATTCTGTAAGATGTATACCTTGTAGATGACTTGCTGGATCACAGAATAGGCATGTTCAATGTTACTGTATCAAAATGTGTCTGAAATGACCCTATTGTTTATAAACCTGTTTTAAGTAAGGTGTGGTTTTAAGACCTATTGCTAGGCTTTTGAATCGTTAGCTTATCTGTTAATTTTTACTGTACAGTATTTAAATTCTTTCCCTTTTTATCTAAGCAGTGATAGATAGTGGGTGATCTCATTTTTTAATTAGGATTTTATTAATTATCTTCTCATCTATTATAGAGATTTAGGCATAAATGAACACAGTGGCAAATTATACAAGATTTTAAAATGATAAATGAACATATATTTTCTGACACATTGTCAGTTCCCAAATCATTTACTTTTAAACACACTTTAAATTAGTATCAAGTGCTTGATTTTAATAACTACTTTAGTGACATGAGAAACAATGGCACTTTAATTATTTTGCTGTTAAAGTCATAAATTTCACTAACTTCATAATCTATGTTAAGAGTATTAGCTTAAAAATGTATTTTGAAAAGACTTTACATAGAGATTTAAAAGATAGTACCTTGAAATGATTTACAGTTAAGCAAATGAAATATCACAGTTACAAGCACAGCTTTGAGATCTGACTTTTGTAAATGCTAGAACTTTGTTTCCTAATTTTTTTAGTTCTTCAAAGAATTAAAAGGCTGTATTATATAATTCATTTTAGTATGTTTACCTCAAGTACTTTTAGAACTAGACTGTATTTTGGCTGCCACAGATGTATCATGCAGGGAGTATCCTGGTTTAAATTCCGAAGTGCTTTCACTCCTACTTGGTTCACCTTGAAATCGTCTAAAAAGAAGTTGGCACATTATTTTGCGAATGTTACTAGACATCAGGAAATACATGACTGGATCTAAGCAACTATTGAAAGATGAGAGAACCAGCATGATCTCATTGGTTTTGTGAACAATTTCTTTCCAGTAGCAAGACGATACATTTAGCTGTGAAGAAATGTAGATGAATCGAAAGGCATGATAGGGAACAAAACATATAGTAAAAATAATAAGTACAATAAAGGAGTTCCGGGCTGTAGTGGCATATTTACCAGAATTAGGAAATTTTGACCTCCTTTTAGAAATCCTCAATAGATTCTTCCCAATCTTAATATATGAAAGGATTATTAGTAAGAAAATTAGCCAGAACATTACCACAAGAATGAAGTTAAAAATGGCTTCTCCTTTTGCATTATGCTTATCTCTATAATGGAAACACATTGTGGAATTATGCCCCCCTTTCTTAAGTGTTAAAATAATCATAGTTAGGAATCCACCAAGAGCAAGCATCCATACTATACAACAGACATAAATACTTTGTTTGGTTGTTATTGCCTTCCGTTGCTGTATAGACCGATTAATTTTTATATAGCGATCCAAACTGATGAATCCAAGCAAAATAATGCTAATGTACATGTTCATATAAAATAGTGTTCCCACAACCTTGCACAGAATCACACCTAGTGTCCACTTGTTTTGGTTAATGTGATACATTATTCGGAAAGGGAGGCAGAAGATGAGTAGGAGGTCTGCAATGACTACATTAAGTAGATAAATTTGAATGGAATTTCTTTTGCGGTGAATACCCAGAAATACATAGAGGGCGATTATGTTCCCAACCAGTCCCACAATGAAAATAACAGAGTAAGATGTTGTTAACACAGTAGATAGTAATTTTTCATCCATGGGACAGGTAGTAACATTTGGTGTTCCTGAGAAGTTTTGTGGCGGTTGGTCGCTATGACTGGTTATAAAGCGCATTCTGTGGGAGGAGTAAGGCCAGCTGCTGACTGAAGTTGTCGTCATTGTTATGGTGTGACTTCTCATTGTCTTCTGTGGAGATCAAAAAGTGAAAGTTCTAAATGACATATTCCTCATGTGTAGTTCTCATGTCTTCAGATTTTTCCTATAACAGAATGCCGAACATTGAGTCATTTGCTATTTTAATAACAGTTACTTTAACTAAAAGTGTAAATAATAGGCTGGGCCTCCCAGCACACGCCTATGGTCCTAGCTACTCGGGAGGCTACAGCAGGAGGATTGCTTGAATCCAGTAGTTCAAGGCTGTAGTGAGCTATAATTGTGCCACTGCACTCCAGCCTGGCAACAGAACAAGACCCCATCTCTTTAAAAAAAAAAAAAAAAAGACAGTGTAAGTAATGAATGATTTATTTTCAGACATTGTGAGAAACTTTACTTTTATCCTACTTTATCTAGTAACATTATTGTATCATTAAACAAGCAGCACATAGTGTGGTATCTCATAGAGTTTCATGCTCTAACCTTTCTTGTGGCCATGGCCTACATTCAAGGTCTGTTTCATGTATTATATTAAAACAACTCAATTTATGAAATCATCTTCTCTTAGGGAAGTTCTTGTGGGAATAGAGATGCTAGTGAAGAGAAATGACAGCTCATATTTCTCAAAGATGAGCATCAGTTTCTCTAAAGGTATGTACAGCCATAAGAGAGCTGGGCCCACTGCTGGCCCTGCCCAGCTTCAGAACCACTTCCTGCCTTGACTTTTCCCCTCGTATGTGGCATTCATTCATTTTGACATGTATTGCTACATGGCGTGTGACTTACTGTGGCAGTCTCATTCTGTAAGTGGGAATAAAGAAGAGGATCCTAAATTTCTTTTCAGCCTGAGACCAAGGTAGGGATCTTAGGGCATGCAATTAACATAATAGACTAAGAGAACACAGCACCTGCAAGGTTACACAGACTCTTGTATCAGTGGACAGGAGAAAAAAGTAACCAAACAAAACCAAGTCAACTGGCAGCTGCTGGTTAGCCACTCCTAACCTAGAAGCATAGAGTGATAACGTAGATGGGAAACAGCATGTGCAATCTAAGATTTTGAAAGTAACCTGACCAAAGCTTAAATGTGCTGCTAGAACCTTCGAAGAGATAGTGTTTGAATTCTACTTGTTTGTGGCAGCAGAGAATATTTGCAAAGCTACTTATTATTGGCCCAATGACTGCTGTGAAGAGCTTAGTCTGAGAGCTGGTCACAACAAGTAAAGAAAGCGTTTCTGGAGGTCTCATCACATTTCTCTCTTAGAATGACTGCCCTATTTCTCTACAGCAGCCACTTAGCAGGGTTAACATAAAGATGCCCAGAGCAAGGTTTTCAAAATCAGACCCAACTAACTTGTGACCAAGGGCAAATAACTTAATCTTTTCTATGCCTTAGTTTTCTCATTTGTGAAAATGAAAAATGCATAAGAAGAACTTAATCCTGGCACATAGTGATTGCTTAATAAAAGTTAGCTTTAATAAACACCTCTTGATTAATCTCATTTTAGTAAATATCTCACACTTGGCTAAGTACTGTGTGGGAAAGGAAGGCAATAAGACAGAGACCCTATTAGTAAACATTTTGGAGAAGTGGACATTCAAACCCTGACTGCTACCATGTAAAGTGGATTTGAATTATATAAATTAAGTCCCTGATTTGATCTTATACACAGAGAAAAATAGCCTTTCTTAAAGCTCTACCCATAATTTGATTAAAAACAAAGCATTTTTGTAGAGGGTAACATTAAGGTTTAAAATGTTGTAAAGTTGGGGAGCATTGATTCCACAGAAGAGGAACTGGCTGGTGAAGAGGAAGTTATGTAATCCCTGGTAAGAGCCTGTTTCCAGAATTCAGGAAAGTGGAGGGAGAAAGGAAGGGAGCGGGGAAGGACTGAGTCTAGTCTGTCGTGTGTCTCAACTTCAGGAAGACAAATTTCAGAAAGTTTATAGAAAGATATAGGCATGTTTCTTGTGATCTAGATTCTGGTTTTTTTGTTTGTTTGATTTGATTTGTTTTGTTTTGTTTTGTTTTGTTTTTGAGACAGAGTTTTGCTCTTGTCACCCAGGCTAGAGTGCAATGGCGCTATCTCAGCTCACTGCAACCTCTGCCTCCTGGGTTTAAGCGATTCTCCTGCCTCAGCCTCCCGAGTAGCTGGGATTACAGGCGCCCACCACCATGCCCGGCTAATTTTTGTATTTTTAGTAGAGATGGGGTTTCACCATGTTGGCCAGGCTGGTCTTGAACTCCTGATCTCAGGTGATCCTCCCACTTTGGCCTCCCAAAGTGCTGGGATTACAGGTGTAAACCACCATGCCCAGCCTGTGATCTAAGATTCTAAAAGGAAAGGGCAATCTAGAAAGAATGTCAGGCTGCCAAAAATGAAACTAATAATGCAACCTGCGTTACCAGGAAATGGGTGTCTGTAGAGGGACCACCTATATTGTGTGGTTATCTAGGGAGCTCTCATAGGTTCAGGGAATTGAGGCACAGGAAGTGATGTGATTTTGAGAGCTCAAGTAGCTGAAATGACATGAAAAACTCACCTGTAAGTAGTTATTTTGGATTTTTTTTCTTCTCTCATGCTAGATTTTAAGTTCCATTAGGATTAAGAACCAAATCAATTTTGTTTGGCTCTCTGTACCTAATGCTTAGCACAATAAATAATACTAAATCAAAGAGGGAATTTATTAGAAATACATATGAAGCTCTACATGTGGATATTAAAAGCAGCTTTACAAGTACAGGAAGAGCTTTAGCTGCATTAACAAACACAATTGCAATTGCTCTATCAGTAGTGTAGTGTGGTGGCAACGAAAAACCCATCTTTAATTGAATTCCTAGATATGTGGTGTCTGAAATGAAAATTGTTACTACTAAACTGCTTCCATCCCAAGCTGGTAGGATCTCCCCTTTAATGTAGTGTTTGATCCACAGCAGTACACTTAGAAAAGGCCATGGACAAAATGGAGAGAAGAACTCAAATCATGTCATAGAAGCAAATTGAAGGAAATAGGCACCTTACCTTGAAGATGAGAATGCTTTACAAAGCCATAGAGAAAAGGGTTTCACTTTGTTATATGTGTCTTCGCAAAGCAAAACAAGAACCAATGATAGAAATTGCAGAGACAGATGTTGCCTCCTTTTAAGGAAATCATTTTTTTCTAATGAAATGATCTCTCTTGGGAGGCAATATAAGGATCTTACCACCGGAGATTTTTGAGACTACCACCAATTGGAGTCTTTGTAGAAGGGATTATCAGTGGTTCTCAATCCTGGCTACATATTAGAATCCTCTTGAGGGCTTTTTAAAGATACCAGTGCTTGGCTCCTTCCCCAGATACTCTGATTTAATTGGTCTGGAATGGTTTTCAGGCACTGGTTTCCTTTAAAAGCTCCTCAGGGGATTTTAATGTACAGTCAGAATTGAACCCTTAAGCTAGATGGCCAAACCATTAACTAATATTTATTTAGTACTTTCTGTGTACCAGACATTGTGTTAAACCCATTTATGTTACTTCCTTTGCATAATCCTTGCAATATCTGTGAGGTAGGTATCACAAAAGAGGTAACGAAAGATCAAGAGGTTGACCAGGTACAGTGTAGCTTACGCCTGTAATCCCAACACTTTGGGAGGCTGAGGCTGGAGGATCACTTGAGACCAGGAGTTCAAGACCAGCCTGCCAGCCAAGGCAACATAGCAAGAACCTGTCTCTAAAATAAAAAAAAAAAAAAAAAAAAGGAGGAAAGAAAGAAAGTTCAAGAGGTTATGATCTTTACTCTTGGCCACACAACTCTTTTTTTTTTTTTTAGATGGAGTCTCACTCTGTCACCCAGGCTGGAGTTCAAATGGCGTGGTCTCAGCTCACTGCAACCTCCGCCTCCTGGGTTCAAGCAATTCTCCTGCCTCAGCCTCCCAAGTAGCTGGGACTACAGGCATGTGCCACCACACCCAGCTAATTTTTGTATTTTTAGTAGAGACGGAGTTTCACTGTGTTGGCCAGGCTGGTCTTGAACTCCTGACCTCATGATCCACCCACCTCTGCCTCCTAAAGTGCTGGGATTACAGGAATGAGCCACCGCACCTGGCAAGCCACACAATTCTTAAATGACAGTGCCCAAGGTGGGACTCAGATCTGACTTTTAGAGCCCATGATGCTTTTCACCAAACCTCACTCCTTTTCACATAAGATCAGCATTTTCTTGATTAATATTGAGTTCTATCAGCAGTATTTTGACATGATTCCTTTAACATACACTTTAACAATTTTAAGAACAGATTATGCCATCTGGCTTTACTTCTTTAGAAAGGGTGTTAATCTTCTTATTTGCTATGTCCATTATTATAAGGAAGTAAATCTAGAGTTTACAGAATCACAAGTCATTCATCAGAATGATTGCCACTACCCGCAGAGCATATCTTTTTAAACTTACTTCTAGACCCGATAGCCATAATCAGGATGTCTCCAGAAAGCTGTTAGCACAAAGCACATATCCTGAAACCATTTGCCTCAGCTCTAATCTGCAAGTAAAATAAGTAATAGTTGGATGGTCTGTCAGTAAGCGTTTCTGGTTTTGCTTTAGTCTTCAGTTTAAAGAGAATAAAGCAAAGCCAATGCATTTGTTTACATTATAATAGTGGCCATCATTTACAACATCATTACAATGTTTTAGACAGCTTGCATACAATTATTGATTCACAAATTGACAGCTGGGCACCATGGTTCATGCCTGTGATCCCAGCACTTTGGGAGGCTGAAGCAGGAGGATCACTTGAGTTCAGGAGTTCTAGACCAGCCTGGGCAAGATAGTGAAACCCTGTCTCTACAAAAAATATAAAAATTAGCTGGGTATGGTGACATGTGCCTGTGGTCCCAGCTACTCCCAGCTACTCAAGAGCCTGAGGTGGGAGGATCGCTTGAGCCTGGGAAGCAGAGGTTGCAGTGATCCAAGATCACTCCACTGTGCTTCAGCCTGGGTGACAGAGTAAGACCTTGTCTCAAAAAAATAAAAAAAGAATATTAAAAAAAAAAAAATTGGCTGGGCGCAGTGGCTCATTCCTGTAATTCCAGCACTTTGGGAGGCCGAGGCAGGCAAATCACTGGAGGCCAGGAATTCAAGACCAGCCTGGCCAACATAGCGAAACCCCACCTCTACTAACAATACCAAAAAAAAAAAAAAAATTAGCAGGGCGTGGTGGCACGCACCTGTAGTCCCAGCTACTCCACAGGCTGAGGTTGGAGAATTGCTTGAACCCGGGAGACAGAGGCTGCGGTGAGCTGTGCATGCCACTGCACTCTAGCCTGGGCAACAGAATGAGAGTCTGTCTCAAAAAAAAAATTTTTTTTTAATTAAAAATCACAATTAGATTCTGTTTTAAACTTGGTGACTGGTTTTTTTTTTCTCCTTTGAAGTTGGTTGGTACATTACAATGTCATTCACTATATAAGGCTTTTTATTGATACTTTTAAATTTACTTGTTTGATATGTTAAGAATTGCTTGTGAAATAAGAAACAAACCACTGTGTTTACATAGGGGATTAATTTCCCAGTGGACATTGCTTGTGACCCATGTGCTATATTGAAGTGGTCACAATAGTTTTGTAATAGTGGATAATGTTTTTTAAATGTTGTTACGTGGCAAATCCTATTCACAAGTTCAAAAACATAGTTCAGCGCATTGTACCCTCGCACCACCACCTACTCCTGCAGTTTTTTTTTCAACTGGCTCATGTAGGAGTACTGGACCCAGAGGGCAGGACCCAACAGATTCCACTGTGACTCCACATGAGCAGAAGCTTTTAAAATGCAGTTTGGGTATGTTTGTGAAAATATCACATTGCTATGTTGAAATACATACCTATTTGGTAATAGTCGCAACCTTTCACCGTTTTTAGTTTGACTTGATAATGACTGAATCTATTCAGGGCATGCTTCAAAATTGCATTAACTGCTGTATACAAAATGAAAATTGAAAACATATTACTTTAGAAATAATACTATTAGTAATGTGTTAGGTTTTGTTACAAATTTAACTGTGTCCATAAAAAACACATTTTTAAAAATTATTATTTGAACTAAAGCATATTTTGCTTTCTCTCTTATCTAATATTCACCTTATTTACTTCTGAAACACCAAACTTAAATGTTATATGGTTTGGTAATACTATAAAGTAGTAATAATATAATAAAGAAAAGACAGTAATAGAAAATAGGGAGACAGCATAACTTAATAAAGTCAATAAGTTTTAATTTATAATACATTAGAAATAAAATGTATTGCATATGAAAATAACTTTTAATTCATGCAAGTACATCTGCAAATCTTGATGGCAGTATCCAAATGCAGTATCAACAATGTGACTATATTGACAGTAGGAGCTTAAATACCTTGAATGTCTTAAAGTACTTAAAATAACTAAAAAGGCAGTCTCATTTGAAATCAAGGCAGAGGCGTCATTCAAGCAATTTACTCAGTAGTTCTAAAAGCAAAGAACTGCTGACATTACAGTAGCCTTATCACCATGAATCACGTTTCACTTTGAATGTTCAGATAATCAAATTTTAGCTGAAATAAAGGTTCATTTATAGAGCTGAAATCAATACTCACAGTTCAGGTTCGCCTGAAGTAAAAGGAGCTGAACCCTAAGCTTCCCTAGACACTGAGACTCGTCTTGGTTGTGTCAGCTGGGCTCTTCCATCCGGTCGTGGTGCAATTGGTTGGGGTTCTCTTCTTTTTTATGTTCACATGTGGTGGTAGGGTTTTTTTTTTCCCCTTATTTTTTTTGTTTCTTTTTTCATTATGACAACTCTCAGATTCCTTTTGAAAATATTAAAAACCCTGCCACCATGGAACAACTTTAAGCTCAAGCAACACTGAACTTTAGGAAATTATTTATATCTTTTTTATGAATACCTTCCAACTTGATAACTGTGGAAAGTTTTCCTCCCCCACCCAAAATTTAAAAGCTTTATAAATTCTAAGCAGAAATATGTATTTTCTATTTTTTGTAAGAAATGATACATAATATTGCTATATGGACTTTCAAAGCACAAGCACTGAATTTCTGTTTCTTTTTGGATTTGTTTTAGAAATTAAGTTATTCAGATAAAGTGGCATTCCTTTATTGAATTATAATAACATTAGTGATGAATTATTTTACTCTTTTTAAGTTTTACTTCATTTGTACATTATTTTAGCATATTTCCATGTATTGCTTTAAGACCTTTGCTAAAACAGTCTTGTATTATTAGGACTAGATGAGATTTCTGATGGTGGTCTCCCCTTTTTATCACTATGATAAACTCTCCCAAGCAAATTAAAACATCACCTGTATTTTAAGCAAAATAATGATGGGATTCTGCAGTTTTGGTTTTGATGCTAGTCCAAAATTTAACCACTATCTGTCCATCTATGTAACTGCTGGCTGTGCAGTTTAGTGTTATTTCCCTTTTTTTGTTGCCATTTGAAATGAAGAAGAGTTAGTTTTCATTCTCCCCATAAGTGTTGTCCTGCGGCTTTGTTTACACTAAATATTTGACTCATTGGGCTGTATCTAACATTCTAATTATTTCTGGGTACACTCTTCTGAACATTATATTCTCCAGAGCTTTTTGTTTGTTGTAAATATGATATATGGGACAGGATATTTTTAAATTGCTAGAATAAAAATGTTTTGTAGCTCTTACTTCCCCTTAGAACCTCTGAGAAGGAAGGTGGTTACTGTATTGGTCTGGCAGGATTTTCTTTTATTGTGGTACAATATGTAACGTTAGATTTACCGTCTTAACCTTTTTTTTTTTTTTTTTTTTTGAGACGGAGTTTCGCTCTCGTCGCCCAGGCTGGAGTACAGTGGCACGATCTCAGCTCACTACAACCTCTGCCTCCTAGGTTCCAGCTATTCTTCTGCCTCAGCCTCCTGAGTAGCTGGGATTACAGACATGCACCACCATCCCTGGCTAATTTTTGTATTTTTAATAGAGACGGGGTTTTGCCATGTTGGTCAGGCTAGTCTTGAACTCCTGACCTCAAATGATCCACCCACATCAGCCTCCCAAAGTGCTGTGATTACAGGCAAGAGCCATCGTGCCCAGCCCCGTCTTAACCATTTTTAAGTGTACAATTCAATAGTGTTAAGTATATTCACATTGTTGTGCAACAGTTTCTAGAAGTTTTTCGTCTTGCACAACTAAAACCCTTTACCACTAAACTATTTCTCTCCTCTTCCACTGCCCTTAAAATCATGATTTGTGTTTCATTGATTTTGACTATTTTGGATACTTCCTATGAGTGGAATCACACAGTATTTGTCCTTTTGTGACAGGTTTATTTCACTTAGTGTCATATCCTCGAGGTTCATCTGTGTTGCAGCATGTTACAGGATTTCTTTTATCAAACTGCATTATATTCCACTGTATATGCACCACATTTTCCTTATGCATTCATCTGTTGATGGAGTTTTTGGTTGCTTCCACCTCTTGACTAATGTGAATAATGCTGCAGTGAACATGAGTATGCATATATCTCTTCAAGATCCTATCAGGAATTTTTTAATGACTAAATAGGCATTTACCTATGTGCATTCTATTTCATATAATCTAGTATGAATATATTTTTTTCTATATTATTTTCCTACACCTAAGCCAACCCTTTTCAAAATACTAATTGTTTTAATCTTCAGTTTCCTCATATTGTGACCACATTTTCTCCTCAATGTGAGTCAACACAGCTACCACCAGATTTGAGTATAATCTTTTTCTAGCTATTTCTTTATATACGCTTTTTCCTGTTCATTCTGGATTTTCGGGTTTGTCTCTGTGTTCTTAGCTCATTTTCGATATGTCCTTTTCCCTTCACGCTTCCTCTTTCTTTTGTTGAGATTGTAAGGTATTTATTTATATAAAGATAGAAGTAGAAAAGAATAAATGTATACGCTTGTTTGGTGCCATCTATTACGGATATCACCGTTCTCTTTAAATCCCAACCCCGGTTAAATTCAGCTCACCACCTACTTCAGGCCTGAACCTTGCCATCTAAAATGAAGACTGCTGGATACAAACAATCAATGATGCTGATTGGTCTCGCTTCAAATTCATGACTACAAACCTCAAGTGGGCCCCTGGGCTGCCAACAATCCTGGTATATTTCCTTAGTCCAGTGGTTCTCAAAACAGGTCCCAAACGAGTTGCATCAACATCACTCAGAAGCTTGTTAGAAATGTATGTTCTTAGCTAGGCATGGTGGCGCACGCCTGTAGTTCCAGCTACTTGGGAGGCTGAGATGGGAGGAGTACTTGAGCCTAAGAGTTTGAGTCTAGCCTGGGCAACATAGCAAAACCTTGCCCCTAAAAAAAAAAAAAAAGAAAAAAAAAGGCTGAGTGTAGTGGCTCACGCCTGTAATCCCAGCACTTTGGGAGGCCAAGGTGGGCAGATCACCTCAGGTCAGGAGTTCAAGACCAGCCTGACCAACATGGTGCAACCCCATCTCTACTAAAAATACAAAAATTAGCCGGGTGTGGCGGCACGCACCTGTAATCCCAGTTACTCAGGAGACTGAGGCAGGAGAATCGCTTGAACCTGGGAGGCAGAGGTTGCAGTGAGCTGAGATCGCACCATTGCACTCCAGCCTGGGTGACAGATCGAGACTCCATCTCAAAAAACAAAAAAGAAAAAAATGCATATTCCTGACCTCATCCCAGACCTGTGAGCCAGAAATTCTGGGGATGGGGCTCAGCAACCGGTGTGATTCTGATGCTAAGGTTTGAGGACCACTGTTTAATCAGTTCATTCTCCTATTCCTTGAAAATACTTTTTCACACCTGTACTCTTCTCAGACTGCCAGGAACCCCCCTCCTTCCTCACTCCCACCTGGTGACCATTTTTTATTTCACCAAGAAAATAGAAGCACTCAGAAGAGAACTTTATTGTCTTCCAGTGTCCACCTCTGCTAGTATATACAAATGTCTCTCTTTAAGAAACAAAAGCCGGGCACAGTGCTTCATGCTTGTAATCCCAGCACTTTGGCCAGCTGAGGTGGGCAGATCCCTTGAGCTCAGGAGTTCGAGACTAGCCTGGGCAACATGGCGAAACCCTGTCTTTACAAAAAACCACAAAAATTAGCCGGGTGTGGTGGCACGTACCTGTAGTCCCAGCTACTCAGGAGGTTGAGGCAAGAGGGTGGCTTAAGCCCCAGGAGTTGGAGGCTGCAGTGAGCCATGATCATGCCACTGCACTCCAGCCTGGGCGACATAGTGAGACCCTGTCTCAAAATAAATAAAATTAAAAATTTAGAAACCTCCACAAAAAAGCTCTAGGTACTGCAATGGAATTACCTATAGAATATATTGTTATGTGGAAATTTTGAATATTTGTGCGTATTTTCTTATTTTAAAAAAATTGAAGGATAAACTGAAAACTGATAAAAGTAGTTACCAGTGGTGAAGAAAAGATTGGGAGTGGGGGAAGAGTGCAAAAGCTAGACCTTTCTGAATAGTATGTTTTACAGTTTGTACTTTAGAACGTATGTACATGTTTTATATAATTAAAACACCAAATTAAGGCAAAATCTAATGAAAACAAAAGAACTTTGCTCTATTGCAAAGTGAACGCATAACCACAAGGAGTTATTTTTAGTAACTTTAAAATAGTTACTATTTTTAGTAACTTTAAAATAGGGTAGGGGTTTTTGTTTTGTTTTTACATAATTTTAGACTTACAGAAAAGTTATGAGAACAAGTACGAGGATTCTAGATACCTTTTACTCAGACTCTCTATGTTAACATTTTTTTTTCATTTGTTTAATCCTTCTCAATCTCTCACTCTTATCCATTTACATATTTCCTAAAAATAAGGAATTCTTTTACATAGCTGCAGTACAGTTATCAAAATTAGATAATTTATATTGACCTAATATCATTATGTATTCTACAGACCTTGTTTCAATTTCATCAGTTGTCCTAGTAATATCCTTTATAACAAATAAAAACAAACCGGGCACAGTGGCTCACACCTGTAATCCCAGCACTTTCGGAGGATGAGGCGGGCAGATCACTTGAGGCCAGGAGTTCGAGACCAGCCTGGCCAACATGCCAAAACGCCGTCTCTACCAAAAATGCAAAAAAATTAGTCCGGCATGGTGGCGCACTCCTGTAACCCCAGCTACTTGGGAGGCTGAGGCACGAGAATCGCCTGAACTCAGGAGGTGGAGGTTGCAGTGAGCAGAGATCATGCCACTGCACTCCAGCCTGGGTGACAGAGTGAGACCCTGTCTCAAAAAATATATATATATTAAAAACAAGATCGGCCGGGCACGGTGGCTCACGCCTGTAATCCCAGCACTTTGGGAGGCCGAGGTGGGTGGATCACGAGGTCGGGAGATCGAGACCATCCTGGCTAACATGGTGAAACCCCGTCTCTACTAAAAATACAAAAAATTAGCCAGGCGAGGTGGCGGGCGCCTGTAGTCCCAGCTACTCGGAGGCTGAGGCAGGAGAATGGCGTGAACCCGGGAGGCGGAGCTTGCAGTGAGCCGAGATCGCGCCACTGCACTCCAGCCTGGGTGACAAAGCGAGACTCCGTCTCAAAAAAAAAAAAAAAAAAAAAAAAACAAGATCTATCTTTTCAGTCTCCTTTAATCACTTTAACCTGGAACTGTATTTGAAGAATATAGGCCAGTTACTTTCTAGAACGTCCCTCTTTGGGTTTGCCCAGTGTTCCTTCATGATTAGATCTGGTTATGTACTTTGGCAGGAATACCACAGCAGTGTTGCCAAGTTCTCAATGCATCATATCAGGAAGCACATGCTATCAATCAGTCCCATTAGAAGCAGTGTTAACTTTGCTAGTTTCTGCTGGGTTTCTCCCCTGTAAAATTACTAGTTTCCCATTTGTAATCAATAAGTATCCTATAGGGAGATATTTAGAGATTACATAAATATCTTACCACTCTTCAAACTTTCACCCACAAGTCAGCATCCTTGATGATTCTTACCTGAATCAGTTATGATATTGAAAACTGCCAGATTCCAGCATTTCTTCTACATTTGATTTTCTACTTAAAACTTTT